TACACTTTATATTTACTGTAGTCCATCTAGACTCCACCCTGCACGAACTAGGTATTCAAATATAGAAACAAATTAAACAGTACACTTTAAATTTACTGTAGTCCATCTAGACTCCACCCTGCACGAACTAGGTATTCAAATATAGAAACAAATTAAATAGTACACTTTATATTTACTGTACTCCATCTCGACTCCACCCTGTACAAATTAGGTATTCACATATAGAAACAAATTAAACAGTACACTTTAAATTTACTGTAGTCCATCTAGACTCCACCCTGCACGAATTAGGTATTCATATATAGATACAAATTAAACAGTACACTTTATATTTACTGTACTCCATCTCGACTCCACCCTGTACAAATTAGGTATTCACATATAGAAACAAATTAAACAGTACACTTTAAATTTACTGTAGTCCATCTAGACTCCACCCTGCACGAATTAGGTATTCAAATATAGAAACAAATTAAATAGTACACTTTATAGTTACTGTACTCCATCTAGACTCCACCCTGCACTAAGTAGATATGCAAATACAGGAACAAATTAAACAGTATATTTTATACTTACTGTACTCCATCTGGAGTCCACCCTGCATGAACTAGGTCTTCAAATACAGGAACAAATTAAACAGTATATTTTATACTTACTGTACTCCATCTGGAGTCCACCCTGCATGAACTAGGTATTCAAGTACAGGAATAAATTAAACAGTATAATTTATACTTACTGTACTCCATCTGGAGTCCACCCTGCACGAACTAGGTATTCAAATACAGGACACAAGTTCTGTAAGGATTCCTTCATTACAAGATAAGTGACATTTTCTATCTGAAATAATTAAATAAACAGCTTAAAATAATCTTAATAAGCAGATTTCTAAATAAAATAAAATTAAAGGCATTCCTAACAGTGCTTGTCAATGTTGGATACATAGAACAAATAAAGTGCACATGTCACTGCTATATGTCTTTTAAAAGTAACACTTATAATTCATAGTTATGTTAAACATAAAATCCAAAAACAAGTTATCTTTTAATCCTACTGATTACCTATTATATTTTTCCTTTTTTTACATGTATTTTACCTACTTAATTTTAATATACGTTCTAAGCTCACAGAAAGTTACCCAAAGAAGGAATTCAACGATCCTTAAATGGTGGAAATGTTCCAAGTCTTCTTTAAACAATCCCTTTTCTTTGTTTTTTATCCGTGCCCTGAAAGGGTATTGCAATTGGGTCCGAGTGTGTGTGTGTGTGTGTCTGTCTGTCTTTCTGCTCATGTATCTGATAGACTGATGTACACAAAAATTTTACACAAGACTGGAAGTCAGTATGGGACAGTCTTTCCCAAATTTGGTCCAGATCTGGATCACTTTGAAGCATTTTTTTTATAATGGGGAGACAGGACATTTTTGCAATTTGGGGTTAATAAGTTTGTAAAGTGTGATGGGAATTGTACCAAATTTCATAGCCACATTTAGTTTGAGACTCCTTATCACGCTACAAAAAACTATCCAAATTGTTGAACATTCTGGATCTGAGAAAGTTGTTTTCGACGGTGAAATTTTACGTTATCCAATATAAACGCAAGTAATCTCGAAAAGTAGCGGCGTGCAATCTCTCTGATTACTCTTCTTGTAGATGTGGTACTTAAATAATTTCAGCTTTTTGGTGGATCTTAAAAGTTGTTTAAATTTTACATAAACCAGTTAAATGAGTATTGAATGTTTTAAACTTCTGGAGCACCTTTATTATTTATTAAAACATACTTAAGTAACATCAGTGCACTTATTCTTAACTTCTGGAGCAATTATTTCCTAGTCAATTCTTCTGATAATTATTCAGTTTTCTTCCAACATGTTTTTATAATTTGGATTATTGTATATCTTAGTCTTTTCTTACATTTATTAATTAACTTTATCATCTCACAAAGTTAATAAATCTAAAACAGAGCTCATGCAGTTATTAACAGAAAATGCATGAAACAATCAATATTATAATTCTTGTTAATTTGAAAAGACAAGACCTACCTGTCTATTGGCACTCAGCGTAAACTGAATCATTTTAAGAGTTGACTTGGCATTTGGAGTACCTGTTACAAAATAAAAAATCACAGAACAAGCAAATACAACACTTTTGTTTAGAAATTAGTGTTTTGGTAATTTCTCTGATTTTTTGGTTTCTACATTGTGAATTCTTACAGCATGATGTTTCTTCTAACTTACAGAGATTCAATATTCTGTGAATTTTTACAGCATGATGTTTCTCTTAATCTATACAGGTCCAACTACAGAGAGTTGTTACAGCAAGATGTTCCTCATTAACACAAACAGATCGATTAACCAACAAACTGTTAAATCAAAATATTTCTCATAACATACAGATCTAATAATCTGGGAATTGTTACCACATGATGTTTTTTTATAACTTATACAGATCTAATAATCTGGGAATTGTTACCACATGATGTTTTTCATAACTTATACAGATCTAATAATCTGGGAATTGTTACCGCATGATGTTTTTCATAACTTATACAGATCTAATAATCAGGGAATTGTTACCACATGATGTTTTTCATAACATATACAGATCTAATAATCTGGGAATTGTTACCGCATGATGTTTTTCATAACTTATACAGATCTAATAATCTGGGAATTGTTACACAAAATAAAAGAAGCTATCTTAATTGAACAAAAAAGTCTCACCATAAACCAACACCCCGGGTATCAAAATACCTTTATTAACCCTTAATAAATCTCAGGTCATGTGACCTCTTTGTTCCATACTGTATGTATATTCTTGTGTTTATGTAAACTACTTGTACCCGATGATGAGATGATGACAATATATACTAAAGTTTTATTCATTACCCATTCAAGTTATCACCAAACTTTTATTTTCAAAAAAGTGGGTTTCTCGTCATCAAATTTAGATTCAAAATGTAAAGAACTGTTACAGCAAGATGTTTCTCCTAACCCAAACAGATCCAGTATACTGTGTATTGTTATAGCAGGATGTTTCTCCTATACTATACAGATCCAGTATGCTGTGTATTTTTACAGCAGGATGTTTCTCCTAACCTATACAGATCCAGTATGCTGTGTATTGTTATAGCAGGATGTTTCTCCTATACTATACAGATCCAGTATGCTGTGTATTGTTATAGCAGGATGTTTCTCCTAACCTAAACAGATCCAGTATGCTGTGTATTGTTATAGCAGGATGTTTCTCCTAACCTATACAGATCCAGTATGCTGTGTATTGTTATAGCAAGATGTTTCTCCTATACTATACAGATCCAGTATGCTGTGTATTTTTAGAGCAGGATGTTTCTCCCAACCTATAGAGATCCATTATGCTCTGTATTGTTATAGCAGGATGTTTCTCCTAACCTATACAGATCCAGTATGCTGTGTATTTTTACAGCAGGATGTTTCTCCTAACCTATACAGATCCAGTATGCTGTGTATTGTTACAGCAGGATGTTTCTCCTATACTATAATGATCCAGTATGCTGTAAAAGAACAATAATTTTCCAACATTTAAAAGTATATGATAAATTACCTGCACGTGGAAACCTAAATTTTTCCACTCCCCTGTCATCAGACGGTGGTAAATGAAGAATTTCTACATCACTCTCATCCACTTCTTCATAGAGGATACGATACACACCAGCTCCTGAGAAGAACAGAAACAGTTTCAGTAACTATGGAAACATACACAAAATAAGTTATATGGTAATGGAAAGACTATCCAAAATGTGCTAATCTCACTTACAAACATGAAATTATAGAAAATTCCTGATTGGAAGTTTGTGCCACAATCTAATGAATTGTTTTTCACCCCCTTTTCAAGTACTGGAGTAAAGTTAAAATATGGAGAAATCCAAATGAGATACCTGACCCTTCTTGTGTTGGTCTGGCAATGCAAAGCATAAAGATGGTTTAATGTTCTAGAAAATTTCTGATAAAGAGGGTTTGAGCAATTTGATTTCTTTACCAGAGTGAACATCATACAGAATATATCTAGATACTGTTGCCTATCATGTTCACTCCACAATGCTGCTTTTTCACTGATGGACTAAGGCACTTCAAGGTCAACAATTTGTCACACTTTTACTTTGTTAAAAAAAACAGAATAATGACTACTTGCTTCCTTGACCAGCACAATCACTGGGATTTCATTGATGGGAGCATCTCTGAGATGTATATCAAACATACTCTGTTGTCCAAATCTGTGAATCAACTGCAGGTATACTCCTTTACAAATGAGTCGCAAACAAACAAGAATTATTTTAAGATCTTATGAGTTATTCCACAGTCATCCCAAAATGTTATCCAACCCAGTTTTAGATAAGGGTCCAAATAAAGTGAACAATCAGTATATCAGCAAAGAAAAATATAAGCCATGAAAACCTTCCAATGCATATCATCAAAAAAGGAAAACAGTTAAAAGAATGAATACAGAATAAACAGAAATTATATAAAAACTGGATAATTTTGAATCAATAAATCCTTCTCATAGTCATCAGTATGGAGTTTATTGGAACCCTTCACTAAGTTCAGATAATGATGTGTATTTACCTCCAAATGCAACCAACTGTATAATTCAAGACAATCACTTTAAATATTCAGATGCATCCAATATGTTACTATGAGTAATTAAATGCTTAAATCTACGCATACAAGTTCATATTGCATGCCATGACTTTTTTTATACAGAGTTACATTAAAAATTTAATTAAACAACTTTGTTATCAAAGTATGTCAATAAACTTGGGATCAAAACATATATAATATAACTATTTGAATTTTATTTATTAATTTCAAAAGGAAATATTTAAATAAATTTTCAGTCTTCACTTCTCTCTGTCGTGACATGTCTGAAATTCCAATTTTAAGTTTTCTTTCTACCCTTATATAACTTTCTTAGGTATCCAACAAATTACAAAAACATACTGTAGATATTGAGCCAAAATATGAACTTAAAACCTTCAATCTTCTTCCTTCACTGATATATTTAAAAATGAATGTCAAGCTCACAACACACTCTTCACACGTCATTCTGCCTTTCAAAAAATGTCAATAATTCCCTTGAGATTGCTACTGGATTATTTATAGCTAATAGAAAGAGCAGTTTTTTTCTTTACAAGATTCTTTATATGGTTATTATGTTTTCCATTCCATTAGTAAACATTTAGCCTCAGTTTCATTGTTTGTGACTGTAGTTTTCTGCTACAAGCAGCTAACAGAATGTTTTAACACATTTACATCTTAGTTACAAAGGTTGTTAAATCAAAGTATCTGTAGAACACTCTTTTCCAGTGCCTGATATAACTTTTGTGTTCTAAAGTGCATATTAATGATTTTACGGAGTACCAGCACAGTTTGAAAAACCTAGTGCTAATGAATTACACTCTCTAGCATAAATTATAGAAAAAGGCTTCAACTCTAATGTCTAGTTTTTTGTAACTTTTTTAACAAAAGTAACAAAAATATTAAAATTAGAAACTTATTACATTACATAACAAAAAGTAAATGAAAAAATTAAATAAAATTTCATGAGATCAGCTCAAGTTATAAACTGAACAGTTGTGTGCACTAAGTTCTCCCACTGTGGTTAAATGTTAGTCACATACTTAGGGTCTAAAAAGAATTGTAAAGTAATATAATTAAAAGTAGAAATGTTAAATATGTGAAGTTGTTTTGACAAATAATTGTAACTGTTACAACCTGAAGTCACTCTAGAAAAAAAAAGGAATTATTGATTTTACTTTGTATTTTTAATTTTTTGTTTGATGATTTCATTACCATTAGTGTTAGGGTAGAGAAAATAAGATAAAACACAAGCTTTTGATATTCACTCAGGAAGTTCATGAGATTATGCAAATGAAATATGAAAACTGTAAGATGAAAAAAAAGTATTTTTATTCACTGACTCAGTAAAGGCTTCATAAATTCACAGACAAAATTTGATTTTTGTAAACAACAAAATTGTAATGTTTACTAAAAAACTTGCTATTCAGTATATTGAGAGTTACAGTATGTATAGTTTCATGGTGGTTACAAGATCTGTAAAAAATGACAGCCCAATTATAGAGAGTAAAGTGATAATTCAATCAATGTTACCTTGAGCACAAACAGGTTGCCACCAATAGCCAGTATACCTACTAAACTCTTCCTGGGTGACATAACACGGTATTCCTGCACTAAGGGGATCAACAGCAAGGTCTCCACACCCTACCAACAAAAAAAAACATACCCTTTGTTTCATGAATTCTATAGAGAAACAGCTTTTGTGTCTGTTTTTATACAATTGCATTTATATTTACAGTTAAAAATAGCTAGGTACATTTTTTATAAGTATGTGCAAATAATAGTTTTAAATATTACAAAAATATATCTGTTTCTTATTCATGATATTGCTACATTTTAAATTAATTTCTAATGCTGGCAATATGCTTAATTACCAAATTTTCAGAGTAGAACATAAAAGATTTTGAAACTGAGTATAATATATACAAAACAAACCTTAAAACTCTGTAACTATGAACATTTAATTAAACTTTAAACACCTGAAAAAACGAATTGCAAGATTTTAAATCTATAACTTTTAAATTACAATTTCACCAGTTTAAAAAATAGTTGAGAAATAACACACTCAGAAAAACCCTTGCATTTACTAAAAAGCTACATTTTAGATACCACTTCTAATAAAAACATATATTAGAAAAATGTCATACCTTTTCTACAAAATGTAAGTCGTAATTCACAAGATGAAGCTAATTGATGTACCCATAAATCACAGTTGTAGACATAGGCCACGAGATCTGGGTTCGAAGGGCACATCTGAGGGTTAAGTTTAGCACCAGTGATACTGCTGTTAAGTTCTCTTGGAAATAATGGAGGAATCTAAAATGATAACATAGAAATAAACATGCTCTATAATTACAATGTTTTCATGTGAGATTTTATACAACAACAGTGGTAAAAAAAAGGATAGAGATATATAATTTAACATTAAAAAACAATGTAGAATCCATCCACAACTATCATTCTTCTGGTTCAACAAACCGCTTACACAACCGAAACAGAACAGAACTATTTTCATATACCATTTACTGTACTATAAACAAATACAAATATTCTACTGTATTTATGTAGACAGAGCTAACAGACTAGAACCACTATTCACTACCTTTTACTGTAATTACATAAAGATCTAACATGAGCCAGAACACATTTTATTGTGAGATTATTACATTCAAACATAAGTAATGCAATCATTACACATTACATATACCTTTTACTGTTCGAACTTAAATACTGAGGACTGACACAAGCTACAACTGTTATATTTTGACTGCACGATATAAAAAATAAATCTGATAAAAATATCAGCATTTTAATGTAAGTTATCATAACCAGGGCTCAAAATTAGTTGTATCAAACTGATGGTTAGTGTTTGTTTTGCTAAAAAGGCACTTGAAAAATATTGTTAGTACACATATCAGAAGGAAAATTCACAGGTTTATAATGTCAATACACACTGGATACATGCATTTCAGTCATTTATAATGTAAAATTATGATTACAAAAGGTTACTATAATTATGATTAATAACTTTGTTTCCATTACTGGTGCCATGCTGGATTTGCAATTCCCATTTGAGTTGCAGGGAATAACCAGGCCATGTGTCAGGAAGTGGAAATAGCAGGATTGCAGTTTCCACTCATCTGATTGGTTGCCAAGACATTGAGCCAGACATGTAGACACACATCATCCAGCCTCTGCAGTGCGGTTTTGACAGTAGTGTGGTTAGAAATACTGTGCCCAAGTGGTTGCTTATTGAAGGCAATAATAAAACAGAAAACATGTAAATTGAAGACAATTTTTTCTACATTTCTCTTAATGTTTCCTTGATTAAAACAAATGTTAGGCCTACTGCTTTTAATGTTTAGTCAGTTTTCTGCATTTAAACAGTAACTTTTAATAATTAAATACTTTCGTCAGCAGTAGGGTATTGTAGACTTTATCTATCCAGGTGATCATGACCTAGATACATTAATGTCTACTCAAATTCAGTATTCTTTTAACTTTTGTGAAATAGTTAGAATCAAAACAGCATTCTATGTAATTAAAACAAGTTTTGACCTTCAAATGTATTTGAAAAGAAAATGTATCATATTACTGGTATATTAAAGAAAATACAGCAAAAAAAAAACTGAAACCAATTTAATTATTGTTTTTTTTTTCAGAGCAATAGTTAGAAATTAAGTAACATTTTAAATGAAACAACTTTCATAGTACCTTTTAACCTACCATTTATACATATGAAGTAATTATTTATGACAGAGTTACAGTTGATTTTATACAAAGGATAATATTGTTACTAGTAACAGGGAAATAATTAACTAGCAACTACTTGCTAGTGCCTTCAGAAGTTAAAAGTCAGAGCCTAATAACCTACTCTTGTTATTTCTAAACATTTCTTGTTCTTTAAACCCAAAACTAGCATTAATGGGAATAAAGAAAAGATAACATAATTTTATGTAATGATAAGCAATTCTAAGCTTTATTTGCTTTTAACATAATTGTTTAACCATTGAACTAGTATATGTAGTTGTGGAAAAACATTCAACAATTAACTAACTACCTTTAATAACTTTCAAAGCAACTTGCTCACAGTTTATGAACATCTTCCAATTTTCTTATCTGTTTAATAAACTTAGATAAAACATTAGAACTTTTCAGAATAACGTAGTCATGAAAATTTGTAACCATGACAGAACACAATATTATCCTAACACCGTACAGTTTCTGTATCTCAATAACTTCCTAAAAATACAAAAATATGTCCGTGTTTGTAAATAACAGCTTCTAACATAACATAACTTTCCAACCTCCATTCTGCAATGAACAACCCACCAGAGAAAAATAAATATATAATTTAGGAAACCACTTTAAGAATGATCCAGTCTTTCCACACTATGACCATTAAGAATTGTGTATGCACAAGAAAATTTTAATTTGATTCTTCATCTTCAGTAGGTAAGAATTACACTCAAAGTAAATCACAATTAGATATTAAAAAAGATTCAATACATTTGGAAACAACTAAAGTTATTGATCTGTTGAACAAACAAATGGATATGCAATAATATATATACAAGTTTTTCAAATACAGACAAGACGTAAATCCACATTCACAGCATCACAATAAAACACTGGGCCATACAGCACAATACATACATCAGCTAACACAATTACCAGCATCACAAGAAAACACTGGGCCATACAGCACAATACATACATCAGCTAAAACGATTACCAACATCACAATAAAACACTAAGCCATACAACACAATATGTACATTAACTAACACGATTACCAACATCACAATAAAACACTAAGTCATACAACACAATATGTACGTTAACTAACATGATTACCAACATCACAATAAAACACTGGGCCATACAGCACAATACATACATCAGCTAACACAATTACCAACATCACAATAAAACACTAAGCCATACAGCATAATATGTACATCAACTAACATGATTACCAACATCACAATAAAACATTGGGACATACAGCACAATACATACATCAGCTAACACAATTACCAGCATCACAATAAAACACTAAGCCATACAGCATAATATGTACATTAACTAACATGATTACCAACATCACAATAAAACACTAAGTCATACAACACAATACATACATCAACGAAGATGTGTATTTTTCTATTAAAAAACAAAAGCCTAGGCTATGTACAATTATCAATGTAGTTTACCACTTGATTAGCAGCATCACAATAAAACACTGAGCCACCAGCTGGAAAAACAAATCGGCTTGCTTCTTCGTGATAGTCATAGGATGTGATGCCCCACATGACAAGCCTCTTTCTTTCCCACTGTAGCTGTTCCTCACGAGAAAACCTTCCTAAAGGATGAACTACTTGAAATGTTGACTCTAATAAAGGTTGCCATGGAAACACTGTCTTTCCATCACCCAAGTCACCATAATTAATATCTGTGAACAAAAGCGTAGTTTCCCTTCCACTCATTAAAGTACTAAGACAGTAAATTCTAGTATACGGCACATTTTTATCAAATCCATGCTTAAAAACAAACATGCAAGGATCTTTGACGGATGTGCTTGACAACTGGCGACGAACTTGACGAACAGCCTGTCTCATTTCTTTCCATGTCTTCTTTTTGGTGTTTTTATGAGAGACAGAATTCATATTTTTAAAAGCAGAACTTGCCAGCTCCATACTATACCTAAAAATACAAATTTGTAGTAAATGTAAAGCTACCTTTTTGATTTTTAAAAATAAACCATTCTTGAGTAAGTAACAAAATTAAACATAATTTACTCCACAATGTCCTAGCACACTTAAACAGCGTAAAACTTGCATCTAAACTGGGTTAATAATGCTGACATTATGCTTATGGTAATTAATTTTATCAATTAGTGATATTTAATTAAAACAAATGACTAAAGATGCAGTAAATAATATCACAACCATCTTTACTACTGGTGTTAAAAAATTTTATTTTCTCACATCAATATGTTTTCTTTTATCAATACAAAAAATTATTATAACTGATCTATAAATTACCAGGTAAACATGAAGTAAAATAAAATTTTATCAAAAAAACTTCTTCACATGTATAACATCATAAATTAAAACATAAACTTGTAATTATTTCCATCAAACCAGAGCTACCGGAAAGATGTTCAAAGTATCATTAACTTGTCTAATAAAACAACAGCTTAGTTCAACTAAAGTGTAATACATTAAGTAGTAAGGTAAGCTTATCTAATATCTGCACTTACACCTGGCACACCTTTAATGGAACTATATTTGTAAGAATAACAAAATTAGAAATGCCTACCATACCAGACTGCTTATACTTTTAATCACATTGCTTTGATAACAAAATCAAAGGCTGTACACAATAGTTAGTCAAATAATATGCTCAAGAAAAATAGAGAGAGAAAATGGTAAAAAGATACTAAACAGTAATATTCCATTTTATGGGTAAGTCTTTTATGGTTTTTTTTTAACATGATGGTTGATTTCATCTATTCATTCTTGCTAATTCCTGAAAATTTTAAATCGTTATTATTCCTTGGTTCTTTTTAAACACTTCATCCAACTGCCAAGAATCAATTTCCATTTTATAATTAACATCAAAAACATGAAGCATGTACTTACTTATGGATGAACTCCAACATAAACATTTCAAATGATTAATTATTTGTGAGGCTTATATTGCACCAAGCTTCCCTTTTGGTGAATCCACCTTGGCTATCATCTATTATATCATACTAAAATTATTTTGTAAAGCTTTTTTTTTTTTATCAGACTTTCTCAGAATTTTTAATACTATGCATATAAGACTTACTGGCCTTTTATTTCTAGGGCAACTCTTATTACCCCCTTTAAAACAAGAAGTAACATCAACTTTCCAACAATCAGCCACCTGCCCACTCTTTATTGGCCTACCAGTATCAAAAATGAAAGATAGAAACTTGCATATCTGATATTTGAACTCCTTTGGAATCCTGGGGAAACTTTTTGTCCAAGTGCTTTTTGAGTTATTCTCAATCCCCAGTCGTTCTACTCACAACAAAAAGATTAATACCTACATGATTTAGGTCAAATTCCAACATTTCCCTTGTACCTCTAAGGATGGAAATATTGCTAGTATCTTTCCTTGCAAACAAATGAAAACAAGCCCTCAGTCGTATCATATTAATCTTATAAGAAAACCTTGATATTACTTTTACTTACCTTATGCATAACTTTAAAAAAAATATTTAGGTATACATCGTGGTTAAAGTTAAATACCGGATAGCTTAATCAACGACTGATCATACGTAATAATTATTAATTAGTAACCCTAATACTAGTAATAGAAAGATTAACAAATTACTTAATTAGTAATACTAATACTAGTATTTATTCACTACTTACTCTGACACGATAAACTTAATTTATAAATTATTTGTAGTTGTTCTTATAGCCAAATGATATTTATGAATTATTTTATACTATAACCAGAAATACACCCTAGTCTCACATAAAATTAAAAGTCTTAATAATTAATAAATAATATAAATTATAATACAAGTTAGTAAGCAAATAACTTAATACTCTGCTGCTTAGTGTGCTAAATGTACTCGAACGAGGTAAATGCGCGATTACACGACATACGAAAACAAAACACTTTACTTACCTAATATTGGCACAGTTTGAATAAAACTAAATAAATATTTTATACTTGCAAGATATCGTTCACTAATAGTATTAAATCACATAACCTGACCAACTGTCGCCATCTTACTACTTCTTCTTCCTTTTGTGTTCGTTATACACACTCGTATGAGATCCAAACGTTTAGTCTCAACTAACAGAACTGTGATATTTCTCAAATATGCTATTATCCAATCCTATTATATCTAGTAGCATGGTGACGAGACTATACTATTTTCGAGGAGGGAAGTAATCGAACCTACAGCTTTCTTCCTACAGGAAACGTATAAGCGGAAATGAATGTACAAACGCCCTCGTTAGGCAATTTTTCTGGTTATTTTTATTAATCAGAAATCCCGTGGGAATATGCCTCAACTAAGACTAAGATGAAAGTCCACAAATGGGCTATGGCGTTTCTAGGATTTGGGGGAAGGGTGCTGGAGGAAAAGAGTTAGCTGTACTAGAAGGGTTGCAAGTGTTAGTGAATACAAAGGTAACATGCTTTTTAGGCATTAAGAAGTGTCCATTTATTATCTTTCATATAAAAGAAGAGACAATATTACCCCAACTTCTGTTTTCACAATTTCGCTTTGCTTTAATGTTGTTCCAAACTACTGCTAAACTCAACCCCCTAGACCTCATCTACTTGAAAATAGATCTTTCGGTTCAAATTCGATGACGAGGAACCCACTTTGAGACTAATAATGGCTGGAGACGGCTTAAATGGGTAATGAAGAA